AATTCCAAAGAAACAACAAAGGGGAAAAAAAACTAAACTAAATTGAATCCTTTGAATAGACAAAGGTGAAAAATGTTATTTTTTCACAAGTGGTAGCTATATATTTATTTTCTTGCCTTGTAAATATATTGCTTTTAGTGCTTTTCCATTAAGGAAATCTTTCACATAAATATCCCTGAAATCATACTGGAATAAGAGGTATGGGTATAACTATAGCAGACCAATGGCACTCTAGAGCTTGAATTATTTGCCTGTTTCTCAACATTATCTAATTTTTAAGAAGGCAAGGTAGTTGAATGAACAATGTACCGAGCAGAACACAAGAAATCCAAATTGTAATCCAGTGCCACCCCGGACTGGTCATGAACTCTGGTCTAAAAACAACATGTTCAACCCTCTGTCTCCTCTTATTAAACAAATTCTAATAACATTTACCATTCTAAAAATCCAATGAGTACATGGGAATCTCATGAACATAGATAATGTGTAGACAAGTTACAGGTCCTCTCTTTATAAAGACCATGGTTACTCCTTTTCACAATAAATTCTAAACATTCTAACACTGATCAAACAGTCTAAAAAATTGTTCTCAGGTGATTCCAATGAGCAGTCAAGTTTGAGGTCCAGTGAGTTAAAGCAGCAATTCTCCATATGTGGTCTCTGGCCAGGCACAGCCATATCAACTGGGACACTTCAGAAATATTGTTCAAAATGTTGTATTATTTTCTAAGAAACATGAAGAACTTGACTTATTCTGAACCAATTTCTCCCACAAGCTAAAACAGAGAAACCATGAAATAAATATTACATTAATGTCCTAAATTACTATTTCCTATTTAGGTCTTCAGTTTGAGAAGTGAAAACAGAAAAAAGAGCATCACCTTAAATCATTCATTAATGTCCAAAGTAAATTAATTGCACGTTCTTATTAAGCATTTACTGTGAGCCAGGCACCGTTCTAAGAACTGTACAGATGTTAACGCATTTACTTCTCACAACAATACCACTGAGGTAGGTATTGTTGCCCCAATGTTACTAATGAAGAAACAGAAGCACAAAAAAAAGTGGTTATGTAACTTGTCCAAGTTCAAACAACTAGAAAGTGTTGGGCTCAGGACTCAAGGGTAGGCAGAGTGTATGTCTTCAACCAAGAGTCTAAACAGAAAGTTTAGGAATTCAGCCTCCATGCTTAATTTTCTTCCTGTGAGGCTGGATTAGGTGCCAGAAATAAACATTTCAACTGTGTTTCTCACAAGAATGACATTGAATCAAGTTATAGAATTACTCTTGTATGCTGAGAACTATAATCCAAGGATAATAAATACAAAATAAAATCACGTATCCATTTCCTGTGATGTGTCTGACCCACAAGAGTTTCAAGATTGGCCTTAATTGGAAAACCATTCACTATGGAACAAAGAGAATCCTGAAAATGAATGCCAGGTAACTCTCATCAAAACTTTTTTAAGTGAGCCAGGTTATATAAACCAAGTACAATTGACCTAATCTCTTTGTTTCTACTCTGGGCCCCACGCCTATAAGTGGAGAATCACTGCAATATCTATCATTCCTAGTTGGCCACTCATTCTGCAAGCAGTGCTACTATATCTGTCACTCCGAATTGCAACATCACAAACTCTCTCTGCTCTTCAGTTAAATTATCCGGAACACATCATTTGATTTCTGAGAGTTTGAATTTGCTTCCACATGCCTTCCTTTTTCCCATCAAGAGGTGTGCCTCTGATCTTCCTTCTTCATCTGCACAGCTACTCCTCAGTTCATAGTAAGTCAAACAGAAAATCCCACTGACAATAAATTTTAATTACATTCAGTTTAATAACATTAAATTATAATTTCAATCTATTTAATAACATGAAATTCTAACTTTAAAAGTATCCTAATGAAGACCTGATTTCCTGAATGAAGGAGTTACTGAGATGTGTATATGCCGGAACTTGCTTAACGTTCAGTCTTTTTTTTTTTTTTTTTTTTTTTTTGAGTTGGAGTCTCACTCTGTCGCCCAGACTGGAGTGCAGTGGCCGCTTTCGGCCCCGCAGCCTCGACCTGCTGGGCTCCGGCGATCCTTCCGCCTCAGCCTTCCGAGTAGCCAGAATTACAGGCATGCGCTACCACACCCAGCTGATTTTTTGATTTACTGTAGAGATGAGGTCTCGCTGCCCAAGCGGGTCTCGAACCCGTGGGCTCAGGCAATCCACTCACCTCAGCCTCCCAAAGGCATGGGATTACAGGCTGAGCCACCGAGCCCGGCTAACGTTCAGTCTTATAGAAGTCACTTAAGACTGGTAATAAGCAGGCTGTAACCTCCTGCCTCTTGAGTCAGAAAAAGGCATTCTCAGTTATAAATCTACTATTCAACTTATCATTAAAATTAAACAGAATTGAGACTAATTTTTAAGTACCGCATCACTTGGCATCTCTTCTGGAATTAATACCATAAATATTTTTTCACTAGAATGATTTGGTCCTAGGAGGATCATACAGTTCAGTTCCAATCAAATACTATGAAAGGAATTGAATGGGTGTGCGTGTAGTTTGAAGCATTTTGAAATTATTGCACTGAAAGAAGAAAAGGACTCTTAAATTACCTCACCTACCCTTTCTGCCAGCTTAGGCTTGTCCTTGCTCTGTGTCCTCATTTTGCTTTCTCTTATATTTTCTTGAACAAACCATGATGTAACTGGATAGGGTTTCCTTTATTCTATCTGTCAAGAACCTAAGAAACACCAGATAGAACTGCTAAATTGGCTCTCTTGGAGACTACACCATGCCACTTGCAGACGCTCGCTCACCATCTGAATTTTCTTTTATAAAGAAAAGTATTCTGAAGAGCCAGATTTTAAGGCTATTTAAGTGCGAATGCTAATAGATTATAAAACCAGACATTATAATCCTTCACCAAAGTGTCTAAAGAAAAACTAGACTATTGGTTTGAAGCAAAACTAAAAATTTTTCTAGAAAGTTCCCCATAAAGCATACAATATAAATATGAAGATTATTTGAAGGTGCCCATATGTTCACATTCTTGTAAAAAGGAAAATTCTGGTAAATTCTAAGGGTGCAGTAGTATATAAATACAAAGCCCAATCATGTATCAACATGTTTTTCATTTTAAAGTGTGTGGAGATTCAGTTTTTGTTTTATGGGGTGTGTATACATGAATTTAGATTTTGAGCTAACAAATATTTTGTTGACTACACTAGGCACTTTAGAAGCACTATTTCCTTTAACTCTGACAACATCAATGTGAGTTATAAGGTGCTGTACTACTATAGCCCCTGTTTTACAGATAAGGAAAGTGAGGTTCTGAGAAGTTATGCAACTGCTCAAGAGCGCAGAGTAGTAGAAGAGTGGGTCTCGAACCCAGGTCTGTCTCAGATTAAAGCTCCTGTTCCCAGCTGCTACCTGTATTTTCCCCATTCTCTAACCACAGGCTCAGTCCCTGTCCCTTTCCCAAGTCTATACACCTCAGTCACAAATTGGCACAAAAAAACAGCAACTTGGAAAATAAATGTTCTCTGTACAGAAAGTCTTAGTACAGTTAGCGCTGTGTTCACTGCAGCACACATGTGCTGGGACTGGAGTCATGCCAATTCTAGATTTCTTATCCAATGTCAGAATTCTAATCCATTTAAGCCCATTTGCAAAGGCATTCTATTTTTGTACTGATGGCTTAGAAACAGCTGGAACATTTTTAGCCAAAATTTTGAAATCTCAGATCTCTATAAAAAGAAAAAGAAAAAAAAAGTCCACTTCAATAATCCAGAGACCTGCAACACTGAAGTCTCTTTCATTTGGGAGAATTGCCATGAATCCTTTAAGCCCCCAACTGCTTTAGAAAATAAAATAAAATACTGCATACGAGTCCTATAACCTGCACCGATGACAGTGATGATCCAGGATCATCTCATCAGGGGTCACAGATTTCATGTTATTACAGCTGAAAGACGCTGATGTATATTTCTCCCTTGGCGCCAACTCTTAGAAAAGCAAAAATTCCTATTCTCTGCTAAAAGCAAGTATGCAAATTCTATTACATAAAAATCATTCCAGATGATGGCTAAGCTTCCCTTTATAGGATCTTCCAAAGTTCACAGTATACTATTTTTTTTCTTACATGGGCAAAACCCCACTGATAAATATCTAAGGTTTTCTGAAAAATGAGTTTCCTTCTCCCTCACAGGAGTAGACTTTGCGGGTGTCTTCCCTCACCTTAACTGAGCTCCAGCAGAACAGCTCCCAAGCACTGGCATCACCTGGAGAGCTCATTAATACACATTTCTGCCCCCAAGCTCAAGGTTTCAATTTCAGTAGGTCTAGGGTGGAGTCAGAGCTCTAGAGTTTGCATTTCTAAAGGTTCCCAGGTGATGAGGCAGGCTGCTGTGGACCAGAGCCCACACTTAGAGGATCCCTGCTCCAACTCACGACTTCTTAAATTCCACTGCACTTTGGAATCACCTGAGAGCAAAAAAAAATTTATTTTTTTTTTCACAATGTTAATGACCACAGTTTCGACCCCTAGAGATCCTAAGTGAGGGGTCTGGCTGCTCCTGAACCGAATTTTGTAAAGGTCCCGGAGTGAGTCTCCCGTTCAGGACCCTTACAGAACTGTTGGGCCACCCACAGGTCCCCAGGCCAGGGCTCTGCGCTCTCAGCCCAGCGCTCGCAGGCGCGCCGCGTGTGGAGGTGGGAGACGATTTCAAGAAGATAAGATAGAGACCGGCGAGCTTAGGGGATTACCCGCACGTGATCAGAGGCCAAGCACTCCCAGGCAGAATCTGTCCCCCAGCGACTCTCCCAAATTAACACCGAGCGACTTCGCAACACAAACCCTGGCATCCCCAGCCTCCAGCCCAGGCGCAGGGAGAACACTGCACCCTCAGAACATACCAGATGCCAAATTGCAGCCCCCGGAAGCCCAGCCCCGAGACCCCCCAGATGTCATTCCGCCAGGGAGAGGGCAGGAGGCAACGTTGCCTTACCTGGTGCCGCGTCCGGGTTCCGGGTTGCCGTCGCAGCCCGCCAGGTGTTGCGCCAGGGGGGCAGGGATGTCCCAGGCGGTGACAAGTCCAACCCGGGCGAAACCTGGGCTGGCACGCCTGTCAGCCCTACGCCCCAGCGCGGTCTCCCTGCGGCGGCTGGTGCGGAGCGCGGCTGGGAATCGCTCTGGGCCCCAGGAGGCGGAGCCCGGAGATAAGGCTCGCACTCCCCACCCGCCCCCTTGCCGGGCCGGAGGGTGGGTTTTGGATCTGATCGCGAAGCGCGCGCTGCTAGGGGCAGCCCTGGTGGAAACGTGCACGGTTCAAATCCTGCCTGGACCAGAAAGTGCACGAGTAGGGATGGAAAACCGAGACTGGGAAGGACGAGGGAACCGCGGGGACAGAGACATAGGGACGAGCAGCACAACGGGGGAGAGAGAGGCAATCGGAGGCTGAAAGGGCTAAGGTTGCCTCCACTAAAGGAGGCAAAGACCTGGAGCGCCTCTCCTGAGCTGATCAAAGAAGGACTTCCTCTCTCGGTCCCAGAGAACTTCCCCCGGGGCGACCCGGTCGCAGGAGATATGTACCCTGCTTTTAACCCAAGGTAACAGCTGCCCCCAAACCTGAGGAATGTGCATTTTCAAATAGGGAGGCAGTTACCTCTGAGAATTTAGGAGCTACAGGGAAGCTAGGTAGGGAATACAAGGCCTTATTTCAAAAGAATCCTCTGTGCTCCGCCCCCTTTGAGCCCCTTTTTTTTTTTTTACTTTAGGGAATGGTCTTTATTATTTAGAACAGAAAGATGAGTTTGACCAAAATGAAATTCCTGTTGCTGAATCAACAGAAAATGAGTGAGGATTTTTAATTATTATAAAGATGTGGGGTAAATTCAGTGACTGGATAAAGAAAATGTGGTACATATACACAATGGAATATTATGCAGCCATAAAGAAGGACAGATATGTGGACTTCGCAGCAACTCAGTGATCTACCACAGAAACAAAGAACAGAGTAGCATATGTTCTCACTCATAAGCGAAACTTGAACAATTATAATACTGTAAGAAAGCATTTGGCAGCAATGGGAAACTGTCAGGGGAAGGAGGGTGGGATTGGCAGTTGAGGCAAACTGCTAGGGGAGGGAAGGACATATTGCATCAACAAGGGTACCTGCATAATCAGTGGTTGTATACCTGAGCCCATTCTTCACAGAGCAGCTAGAAAGCTCTTCAACACTCACATGCTAGAACCCCTGTGGCTTTCCGCTGGTCCTTGCCTGTCACCCCACCTCCTTTCTCACCCTCCCTCTGCCCCCACAACCTGCCTATTCTATCTTATACACACCAGAGAGTCCTCATCTCACTCGGGATTTTTCCTGCCTCTAAAGATCTATCCCAGAACATGTCCTAGTAGCCTGCTTCTCTCCAAATTAAGGTCTCTACTCATTACTTTCATTGCATCCTTCCCACACACCATATCCATGTGGAGCTCCTCACATCCACTCCCATCCCCAGCCCCATTGTTCTCAACAGATCACTTACTGCTACCTGAAATGCTATTGTTTGTTGCTCTTGTGTTTCACATCCAGTTCAAGGAGAGCAATGAATTGGTCTTAGTCCCACCTTTATCCTCTGAACCTAGAACAACACCTGAAATATACAGGGTGCTCAGTAAAAACTGGCTAAATGAATATGTAAATTAATTTCTTTCCAGGAGAGAAACTTCAGAAAGAAATGCCTTCCTTCAATAACTGAATCTCATTGAATTCAGGTGTGATGCAAAAAACATCTTAGAATGATCATCATTTCCCACACATTCTCATTCATTGATGATAGAGTCCGTTGTTATGCAAATAAGATAGGTGTAAATTGTCTTAGATTTGGTATTATGTTCTCAGATGTGTCACCAAAAGCATGAGCAAGTAAAGGAAAAAAATCAGTTGAACATCATCAAAAATTAAAAATGTTGTGCTTCCAATCGCATTCACAATAGCCACTAAAAAAATGAAATATCTCGGCATCCTCCTAACCAGAAAAGTGAAAGGCCTTTACAATGAGAACTACAAAGCACTGCTCAAAGAAATCCAAGAAGACACAAACAAATGGGAAAATATTCCATGCTCATGGATAGGAAGAATCAACATTGTTAAGATGTCCACCCTACCAAAGGCAATCCACAGATTCAACGGAATACCCCTTAAGTTGCCAACATCATTCTTCTCAGACCTGGAAATGACAATACAGAAATTCATATGGAAACATAAATGACCACAAATAGCCAAAACAATCCTTAGCAAAAGAAACAAAGCAAGCGATATCACACTTACAGACTTCAAACTTTACTATAAGCTACAGTAATCAAAACACCCTGGTATTGGTACAAAAGCAGGCACATAGACCAATGGAACTGGATAGAGATTCCAGAAGCAAAGCCTCAATTTCTCAGCCAACTCATCTTTGACAAAGCCTCCAACAACAACCACTGGGGAGAGGAGAACCTATTCAGTAAATGGTGCTGGGAAAACTAGCTAATCACATGCAGAAGATTGAAGCAGGACCTCTACCTATCACCATACACAAACATTAACTCTAAATGGATGAAAGATCTAACCGTAAAACCTCAAACTATAAGAATCTTAGAAAACACAGGAGACACCCTTATGGAAATTGGAACTGGCAACCAATTCCTTTTCAGAACCCTAAATGTCCATATCTTAAGAAATAAGATGGACAAGTGGCACCTCATCAAACTAACAAGCTTCTGCAAAGCAAAAGAAACCATCAAGAGAGCAGGGAGACAGCCCACAGAATGGGAAAAAATATTTGCTAACTGTGTATTCAACAAAGTCCTAATATCTAGGATGTTACAAGGAACTCAAATGCGCCAAAAAGAAAAAAACAAACAGCCCCATTAAAAAGTGGGCAAAAGACATGAAAAGACACTTCTCAAAAGATATATGGGCAGCCAACAGACACATGAAAAAGTGCTCAGCCTTACTCATCATCAGAGAAATGCTCGACATTGAGATACCACCTAACCCCAGTAAGAATGGCCATCATTAATGAAACAAACAACAGATGCTGTCGAGAATGTGGAGAAAAAGGAACGCTTCTACACTGCTGGTGGGAATGCAAACTGGTACAACCTCTTTGGAAGACAGTGTGGTAATTTCTGAAAGAACTGGAAATTGACCTTCCATATGACCCAGCAATTCCCCTATTGGGAA